TTTTCCCTGATGTTGTACTTCACAGCTGGGTCTTATTACAAAACGTTCTAAGCCTTAATAATCTATGATGGATTACTTCCAGACCCTGAAAGCTCCGCCCACTTCCACTCTCTAGTACATCTTGATAAACAAGACCACTGTTTAGTGCTAAACTGTAATGAGGTTGAATAATACAATATGGTTCATTTTAACCGGATCTGCTCCTCTGTGTCATCAGGAGGCACTTGCTCCCACCTTAAGTTGACGATACACAGCTCTCACAACCATGCGGATCCCTGAGTTTAACATGAATGACACTCAACCTAGAGAGGAGAGCTCACATTGAGTGACTCACCGCCGTCCAGCACACAGCAACAGACCACTTGAGCCACCAGTTCATTACTACTCAGATCCAGTTCATGAGAAGGGAGGGGCTGGAACCAGCGCTGATGCCACATCAACAGTCGTATCCTCAGTAGAGTCTACAGTCACACAAACTGTAAACAGACGTTAGGAATTAAATATGTAAGAGTCGGATCGGCCTTGAACAAGTTCTGTGCGGACTGACCAAAGCCTTCCTGCAAAGTTTTTCCTCACAGCAGGGATCAGTCTCCTACAACCTTCTGCAGACAGTGTTGTACGTCTTTGAGTTCCAGTTCCTGCAGGACCTGAGTCTGACACTGCAGCATGTAGTGCCAGAGCAGAGCACTGGAACAACAGACAGTTCGTCTGCTGAGTTCCCTTCCAGACTTCAGGAGAAGCTGGATCAGCTGCAGGAGAGACGAGTCCTTCATCTCCATCAGACAGTGGAAATGAAGAATGCTTCTGTCTGAAGACTCCTCCTCTGAGCTCATCGCCATTGAGGTTTTCGAATGACTTGTGATAAAAAATTTATAAGATATCTGACTGTTCCACGTAATCAGCAACCTTTTAAAGTCTCAGTTAGTAGTCCAGACTGAGCCATGAAGAGGAAGCACACCAACCGGTCCAGGCGACCAGATTGAACCACTCAGGATTTATCAAGTAGACTATGCTGAAAACTCACTGCCCTTAACTTTGTCTGATCTTTTCCACAGAGACACTTCTCACCGACTTGCATGTCCCTTCCAAAGCATTGCAGAACAGTTAAACCGCTGCCATAAACACCTTGACACTCAGTTGGACGCATCATGTAGACAGATTAGGTTGAAGACACACTTTCTTGTTTAGATCGCTGTACAGAGAACCTGAGTAGACCGAGGCCACGGTCCATGGTCCAGTCCCACCTGCTCCAGGTCTATCTGATAGAACATTATGTTTTCCTTGCAAGGCAGATGTCAAAGCCAGTCTGCCCACTTCACGGGAGGATGACTGCAACTGTCGCGACACCACTGTGATCATTGTTCAGCTTCTGAACCTGACCAGACCAAAAAACTGCTTTCTCTGCACGGGACATACAGGTCTCGGTTGGTATTTTCTCTATCTGTTGGTCTGCACCAATAGCACAACGTACCTTCGCTGAGAGTCTGGGGCAGCGCTCCGCTTCGATCGGTTTCTCAACATTTGGAGTCCAGGACGGTGCGGTGATACCACCAGAAGATGGGGGATCTGACACTTTATTGGAGGCTGCGGGAGCTTCTGATGTTGGACAGGACTGTCGTACACTGCTCTTCAATCTGTGAACCTCTTGCCTAAGTACTGCTCTTCTGACGCTCAGGTGATGAAGCCTCTGACCTCTGAGACTCCTGTGCACACTCTGTGCTGGGATCTGATTTGCTGCAGCTGTCTGGAGTGATCCATATAAGGGCAGTAGGAAGCAGAGTGCCTCTATAGGCTTCACTAATCACACACTGACGTCTGAGCTCTGTGAGTTGACCTCAAGATGACTCACAGTCAAAGTCCAACCCATCTGCTCTCGCCTGGCACGTCTAAGATGAAAGGAGTTATAGAGACGGACAGAGAGTGTGGAGAGAGAGTCTGATGGAGCACAAAACATGACAGTTACCAGTCATACATATGAATGCAGAGCAGATTCTGAGCATGCAGCATCAGTGACATCAGTTTGACACCAGGAATGACGTGTGTTTTATATACGTTTTATTAAGGTTACTGAATTCAACCCATCAGCTGGGCTGGGAGATAGGAGTTTCTCATTGTGTTCACACTATAATAAATGTTTGAAAGTAAACACTGTGAACTGGACTGAAGCAGAAGATAAAGCACCTGTTTTTACCAGCGCTGCGGTGAAACCACTTGTATGAGCTGCATCAGACTGTAGCGCTGCCCTTATCACAGTTTCATCTCTCAGAAGGACAGCGGCACACCAGCTCCAGCTCCTGTTCTCTAGCTCCCTGAGCCCATTTCAGACAGAACTTCCAGGACTGAGAAGGTCTTCCCCACTCCAGCCACGCCCAGTCAGCACTGCTCTGATGGATCTGTTGAGCGCCCCCTGCTTGCTCCTCAGTGGGCTATTTTTTCTATTGTGCTTTAAAGATTCCTGACACCTGATGAGGTTTCCTGCACAGTCTCTGGAGAGTTCCCACAGCCCTGACCCTCATGCTGTGGCAGTCCTTCATGGAGAGTTCCCCAGCCTCTGCTGCCCTCATGCTGGGCAGTCTTTCTTTGAATTTCCCTCCAGCCCACCGCCTCCTCATGCTGGCTGTGGTGTGTTCACTGAGCCCTCTGTGAATGTACAGCTCAGTGAAGTGCAGTTCAGAGGAGTACTTCCTGCTCCTTCTGATTCCCCTACGGCACACTCCCACATCTGCTGATCAGACGCTGTTTATGATCCTGCAGAAGCTTCTGGAGCTCTTCTTCTGTGAGAGGAATGCAGACGATAACAGTCATTTAAACATGTGTATTTCTTTTATATTTAATTCTATTCAGCATTTTTATTAAGAGCTTCTTCCCTGTTTCCAGAGTCTCCTTTTATCTGTGAAAGATGTAAGCTGTCTCAGCACAGTTTACTTCAGCTTTAGTGCCAGTGCCTATCAGAAAGTACTCAACCACCTCATGCAGTTTGGACTATTGAACACTATGTACATGGGATTCTTTGTGTTTGGAGATTCTAACCAAACGGCAAAGAAATCCTAAAAAACATCAACTTTTGTCATAGAGTATACCGAGATAGATTGACAGGAAAATTAGGAAAACCGTTAGATTAACAACTGTAGAAATGAAAATTAGGGATGCACCGATATGATCAACTTTGGCCGATTATTGATATCCGATATAATGTTTCATTTATGGCGATAACCATTAATTTGCTGATAACGATGTTATAAAATAATAATAAAAATAATTCTGAGATATAAAAGTTTGTACATACTGAATTATTTCATTCTCTATTTCAGAATTTATTTTATTTTAGTTAGTAATGGGCGATGGTGGGAAAAAGGCACACAGGAGCTTTTTTGTGGCTCATATTTTCTGAGTGAAAACTATCTTTAATGCAGCGATGTATGTTACACTAAAAAGAGTAATGGATAAAAAATAGACCAAGATAAATAGACACCAATAATAATTGATAACATTAAAAACTAGATAAGGGTTTACATAGTATTAAAAGTGGTACATTCATGCAATAATAATACTGTTGTGTTTCCTACAGTGATGATTTAGAGTTTCTGTAATCGAGTATCCCACTAGCAAGCCTGCAGCCTGATTGATGAACATCGGCTGATATCGATAATTATACCAATATATCGTTGCTTCCTTGTTGAAGAAGATATAAACAAGTGAAGAAGAAAGAGGTGGAATACTTTCAGGAGCAGGTGTCAGACTGTTTGTCCACGTATCGTTATATTTCAGATTAAACAGGAGAAATGTTTCTATAATTGAGGAATGAAAAAGGTACAGAATCAGTAAAATTTACACTTGATCCAAATGAAAAACATCTAAATGAGACCTTAAGAATATGCGATATATTGTGATAGTTGTTAAAGGAATGAGTTTTTATAAAGAAGACACCAGAGGAGAAGTTTAGTGCGCGGACGTAGCGCTCCTAACTTCTCTCCGGAGAACTTCTCTACTCGCTGCTACTGTTGTACTACAAGTCACGCTGCTTCGATTGCCGGAATTGAGCGAGAGAGAAAATCTCCGGAGAGAGTTAGTGCGCCTCACCCCGATACTACGCCTTCACAATATAGTACCCAGTTTTATCGCATGAAGAAAATCGACTGTTACATTTCTGTGTTCCCTATAGAATTGCAGTGTAACACGTCACGTAACTATCTACATTTAATAGGGAACACTTGGAAGACAGTTTGGTAGCTTCTAGCGGGCAGCTACCGTATGGGTACTATACAGTGACCAGAGAGCTGCGGTGTGCACCCGTTTTTGCTCGTTTATGCATGACAATGCGACACGGACAAGACCAGACAGGAAACGTATTAAGACTAGTCTAGAGGTAAGGTAAAACATATGTCAGTATGTAGACAACGGTGAACAATTCCTTTAAAGGCTAGAATGGACCTAACAATGTCCATGAGGCTGAATCGCTCCGTGTCTGAAGCAACCATCTTCAAACACACACAAACAAAAGATACAAACAAGGACGTGAGGGAACGAGTTTGTGATCTATCACAGGTGATACTAATATCGTTGCTACTTAACTGCTGCGCTCGATAGTTGACAGTAAATATGAATCTCAACGTTATATGGAGAAAAAAGACTATCTGTTAAAGCCTTACATGCATTTCTTATTCAGGTGTACGGTCACATATAAACCCTAGATGGAAACATTACTGCCAGTCAAAACAATTACCAAGTAACAACAGTTCTTTGAACGTAGTGCATTGTGTGTTTCTACCATCTGGCTCAAAAACATGTAAAACAGACAAGCCCTTGTGTCGCTCTGATGCGTGGGCCCGAGGTCTTGGGCCTGAGGTCTTGGCCCAGAGGTCTTGTGGCCCTGATCTTGTCCTGAGGTCTTGGGCCCTGAAGTCTTGGCCGCTGAGGTCTTGGTCCCTGAGGTCTTGCTGAGTCCCTGAGGCTTGGGTCCCTGAGGTCTGTGGCTCTGAGTTCTTGGGCCCCTGAGGTCTATGGTGCCTGAGTCTTGGGCCGCTGAGGTCATCGGGTCGCTGGAGGTCTGGGCCCGTGAGGTCTTGTGTCCTGAGGTCTTGTGTACCTGATGTCTAGGGTCCTGAGGTCATGGCACTGGCTGAGTCATCCGTCGAGTTTTACATCTGACAAAACATTGATATTAGAGCATAATGGTGTATTAAAAGTAATAAAAACATTGATGAGACTTTGTGTGTCGTAAGAGGTGATGTTGTTGTGTGTTTTACCTCTGGGTATGTCGCTGTGTGTCAGATGGAACCTATCTGATCTGTGTCTACAGAGCTCCAGGATCAATTGTTCTGTATGTTTTCTGGAGCGGGGGTCCCACCACATAGAACACCTCCTAAACACTGGATCCTAAAGCAGGGAGTACAGACCACTGTGATGAGAACTGAAGCACCATGAGCACATGCAGCTCGGCACTACAATGTCAAATGTCAACAATAAAACACTTTATTTCACAAAACAACATTACTAAAATACACACGTTCCAATGAGTCCTGGACCTGAACCCTCTTTTCGCACCATGTTGTTCATGTTAATCCACAGGTGACATCTATCTATGACTAAGCCTCACTCTGACCATGTCGTAAATTCTTTAAATATAAATGTAATCTAAGTCAGATCAGAGTTAAGGCGCTGTTCAACCAAACGCTTCAAAAGCTTTTGACGCGCTTCACTGACGCCAAGATAGTTTTGACATTTTGTGCTAAGAAGCTTTTGACAGCGAGTCTGACGCGCCTGACCGGCCGTGGGTAGGAGCCTTCTCTGTTGTCAGTAGTCAGGAACAGCGTTGATTTTTTCAATGCCAGCGAGCCTTTATTTGATCTCTAAGCAAAATAACATTGTTGTAGGGCTTCAATCAAAACATGTTCTGGTTCACCCACCGACTTGAGAGGCTGCAGTGTTGCAGAGTTTCCGTCATTAACTCCCGGCAGCTGGCGTACGGAGGAGTTATCGCTTCAGCGGTACTTCCCTGCAAAGTCCCCCTCGCCCAGTCTGAGTTACTCAAACCGCCGGAGCAGCGCCTCTCCCCCGCCATCTCCTTCCTCCGGGCCTCTCCCCGCCTCTCGCGCCTGCCTCTCTCCTGCCTCTCCCCGGCTCCTCGCAAACGCCTCCTCCCGCCTTCGCTCTCGCCTCTCCCTGCCTCTCCCCGGCTCTCGCTCTTGTTCTCCCTTCCCTCCCCGGCTCTTGCTCTGAGCCAGACTCATCGTCAGCCTGTTTCTTTATTAAATAAACTACATTATACTACACAGCATTGTGTTCTATATTCTATGTGTTCTCTCCTCCGAACGATTACTACATCATACAAATAATATTACTATAAACAATAATGACAACAAAACAGCAGCACACAGATTACAATGCTTCTTCTCTTCCATGACAGTAGACCGACCCTCTGCGCTAAAGCAGGTCTAAAACAGGACTAAAGCAGGACTAAATCAGGACCTAAAGCAGGACTAAACCAGGACTCAAGCAGGTCTAAAGCAGGTCTAAAGCAGGTCTAAAGCAGGACTAAAGCAGGACTAAAGCAGGACTAAAGCAGGACTAAAGCAGGACTAAAGCAGGTCTAAAGCAGGACTAAAGCAGGTCTAAAACAGGACTAAAGCAGGACTAAATCAGGACTAAAGCAGGACTAAACCAGGACTCAAGCAGGTCTAAAGCAGGTCTAAAGCAGGTCTAAAGCAGGACTAAAGCAGGTCTAAAACAGGACTAAAGCAGGACTAAATCAGGACTAAAGCAGGTCTAAAGCAGGTCTAAAGCAGGTCTAAAGCAGGTCTAAAGCAGGTCTAAAGCAGGTCTAAAGCAGGTCTAAAGCGGGTCTAAAGCGGGACTAAAGCGGGTCTAAAGCAGGACTAAAGCGGGTCTAAAGCGGGACTAAAGCAGGACTAAAGCAGGACTAAAGCAGGACTAAAGCAGGACTAAAGCGGGTCTAAAGCAGGACTAAAGCAGGTCTAAAGCAGGACTAAAGCGGGTCTAAAGCGGGACTAAAGCGGGTCTAAAGTGGGTCTCAAGCGGGTCTCAAGCGGGTCTCAAGCGGGTCTAAAGCGGGACTAAAGCAGGTCTAAAGCAGGTCTAAAGCAGGACTAAAGCGGGTCTAAAGCGGGACTAAAGCGGGTCTAAAGCGGGTCTCAAGCGGGTCTCAAGCGGGTCTAAAGCGGGTCTAAAGCGGGACTAAAGCGGGACTAAAGCGGGACTAAAGCGGGTCTAAAGCGGGTCTCAAGCGGGTCTCAAGCGGGTCTCAAGCGGGTCTCAAGCGGGTCTAAAGCGGGACTAAAGCGGGTCTAAAGCGGGACTAAAGCAAGACTAAAGCGGGACTAAAGCGGGTCTAAAGCGGGACTAAAGCGGGACTAAAGCGGGACAAAAGCAAGACTAAAGCAGGTCTAAAGCAGGTCTAAAGCAGGTCTAAAGCAGGTCTAAAGCAGGTCTAAAGCAGGTCTAAAGCAGGACTAAAGCAGGACTAAAGCAGGTCTAAAGCAGGACTAAAGCAGGTCTAAAGCAGGTCTAAAGCAGGTCTAAAGCAGGTCCAAAGCAGGACCAAAGCAGGACCAAAGCAGGACCAAAGCAGGTCTAAAGCAGGACTAAAGCAGGACTAAAGCAGGTCTAAAGCAGGTCTAAAGCAGGACTAAAGCAGGACTAAAGCAGGTCTAAAGCAGGTCTAAAGCAGGTCTAAAGCAGGACTAAAGCAGGTCTAAAGCAGGACTAAAGCAGGTCTAAAGCAGGTCTAAAGCAGGTCTAAAGCAGGTCTAAAGCAGGACTAAAGCAGGACTAAAGCAGGACTAAAGCAGGACTAAAGCAGGTCTAAAGCAGGTCTAAAGCAGGACTAAAGCTGGACTAAAGCAGGTCTAAAGCAAGACTAGAGCAGGTCTAGAGCAGGTCTAAAGCAGGACTAAAGCAGGTCTGGTCTTGTGGATGGTTGTAGGAGGACTTCTATGGCAGAGAGTTGATCCTTGCAGACCGGGACCTGGTGGAGCAGGGAGCAGACGAGATCCTCAGAGACGCCGACACCTCAGATGTGGGCTTCCTGGTGGTGGGGGATCCTTTTGGGTGAGGCACAGGGTGAAGGACCCACTCTGGTCTCTCTCTCTGGTCTCTCTCTCTGGTCTCTCTCTCTGGTCTCTCTCTGGACTTTCTCTCTGGTCTCTCTCTCTGGACTCTCTCTCTGGACTCTCTCTCTGGTCTCTCTCTCTGTTCTCCCTCTCTGGTCTCTCTCTCTGGTCTCTCTCTCTGGTCTCTCTCTCTGGTCTCTCTCTGGACTCTCTCTCTGGACTCTCTCTGGTCTCTCTCTCTGGTCTCTCTCTCTGGTCTCTCTCTCTGGTCTCTCTCTCTGGTCTCTCTCTCTGGTCTCTCTCTGGTCTCTCTCTGGTCTCTCTCTGGTCTCTCTCTGGTCTCTCTCTCTGGTCTCTCTCTCTGGTCTCTCTCTCTGGTCTCTCTCTCTGGTCTCTCTCTCTGGTCTCTCTCTGGTCTCTTTCTGGTCTCTCTCTCTGGTCTCTTTCTGGTCTCTCTCTCTCTGGTCTCTCTCTGGTCTCTCTCTCTGGTCTCTTTCTGGTCTCTCTCTCTGGTCTCTTTCTGGTCTCTCTCTCTCTGGTCTCTGATGGTAAAGTCTTCTTGTGTTTAGAGCCACGACACACAGTGACCTGGTGCTGAGAGCAGTGCATGATGGGATACCGTACAGAGTGATTCACAACGCCTCCATCATGAACGCTGTGGGCTGCTGCGGTCTCCAGGTACCAGGAGAGAGACCAGGGGGAGAGACCAGGGAGAGAGACCAGGGAGAGAGACCAGGGAGAGAGACCAGGGAGAGAGACCAGGGAGAGAGACCAGGGAGAGAGACCAGGGAGAGAGACCAGGGAGAGAGACCAGGGAGAGAGACCAGGGGGAGAGACCAGGGGGAGAGACCAGGGGGAGAGACCAGGGAGAGAGAGGGACCGGAGTGAGTCCAGAGAGAGAGAGACTCTGCATAAATAAAGTTGACTTAACTCTACACACAGTAGCTCAGTTGGTAGAGCATCAGCCTTTGAGCCTGAAGGTCATGGGTTCGAGTCCACCATGAGACCTACTTCACGACTCCCACTGATGACTGTCGTTGTGTCCTTGGGCAAGACACTTAACCCCACTTTGCCTGAAGCCCTGAAAGATCTCAGCTCCTGTGGACTCAGCACCTGCAGGAGGATCAGTGAGGACCAGGAAGAGCAGGAGGATCAGTGAGGACCAGGAAGAGCAGGAGGATCAGTGAGGACCAGGAAGAGCAGGAGGATCAGTGAGGACCAGGAAGAGCAGGAGGATCAGTGAGGACCAGGAAGAGCAGGAGGATCAGTGAGGACCAGGAAGAGCAGGAGGATCAGTGAGGACCAGGAAGAGCAGGAGGATCAGTGAGGACCAGGAAGAGCAGGAGGATCAGTGAGGACCAGGAAGAACAGGAGGATCAGTGAGGACCAGGAAGAGCAGGAGGAAATGGTGTCCCATCTGGTCCCTGAACACAACAGGATGAACCGGCCAATCACAGCACGACCTCCTGAGCCCTTTGCACCAGATGCTGTTAGTATGCTAATGAGCTGAGACATTAAAGGGGACATATCATGAAAAATCCACTTTTTGTGCCTTAAATGCCTTATGTTGTGTAGTTGGAGCCTCTAGAAGTGCAAAAAAGTTGAAATCAGTCTCTTCATGGGTTGCAGAGAACACTTCATATTCTGTTTAGGTAAGATTTTTCAACCCGTTCTGATTTTGCCATTCTCTATTACGTGTTTAGAATTATTACGTCACAGTATTTGCAGCGAGACTGCCATATAAGGGCATGAGCGTCTAACAAAACACTTCGGCCCAGCCCTCCTCTACTGTGCTTCACTTCATTTGTAGTCCAAGCTCAAGGATGCCAGCGAACAGGGCTGGACTGGCCATCGGGCGTACCGGGCAATGCCCAAAGGGCCGATGCCCATATTTGGGCCGGTCTGTCTGCCTCATACAAAACACATGTTTATGAGAAGTGTAAATCCGTTTAGAATTGTTAAGCGGGGCGTGCGTGTCCGCGGGGCACCTGCTGTATGTACTCGAACGGGATTCCGCCACCTCAGCGGCCGCAGTGTTCCGGGGCATCTGCGGCTGCTTTGTAATGAGCAGCTTCTGCGTCCAGCGGCTGCAAGAGGCTGTGAGCGTCCAGCGGCTGCGAGAGGCTGTGAGCGTCCAGCGGCTGCGAGAGGCTGTGAGCGTCCAGCGGCTGCGAGAGGCTGTGAGCGTCCAGCGGCTGCGAGAGGCTGTGAGCGTCCAGCGACTGCGAGAGGCTGTGAGCGTCCAGCGGCTGCGAGAGGCTGTGAGCGTCCAGCGGCTGTGAGAGGCTGTGAGAGGCTGTGAGCGTCCAGCGGCTGTGAGCGGCTGTGAGAGGCTGTGAGCGTCCAGCGAGAGGGCTGTGAGCGTCCAGCGGCGGAGGCTGTGAGCGTCCAGCGGCTGCGAGAGGCTGTGAGCGTCCAGCGGCTGCGAGAGGCTGTGAGCGTCCAGCGGCTGCGAGAGGCTGTGAGCGTCCAGCGGCTGCGAGAGGCTGTGAGCGTCCAGCGCTGCGAGAGGCTGTGAGGTCCAGCGGCTGCGAGAGGCTGTGAGCGTCCAGCGCTGCGAGAGGCTGTGAGCGTCCAGCGGCTGCGAGAGGCTGTGAGCGTCCAGCGGCTGCGAGAGGCTGTGAGCGTCCAGCGGCTGCGAGAGGCTGTGAGCGTCCAGCGGCTGCGAGAGGCTGTGAGCGTCCAGCGGCTGCGAGAGGCTGTGAGCGTCCAGCGGCTGCGAGAGGCTGTGAGCGTCCAGCGGCTGCGAGAGGCTGTGAGCGTCCAGCGGCTGCGAGAGGCTGTGAGCGTCCAGCGGCTGCGAGAGGCTGTGAGCGTCCAGCGCTGGAGAGGCTGTGAGCGTCCAGCGGCTGCGAGAGGCTGTGAGCGTCCAGCGGCTGCGAGAGGCTGTGAGCGTCCAGCGGCTGCGAGAGGCTGGAGCGTAGCGCTGTGAGCGTCCAGCGGCTGCGAGAGGCTGTGAGCGTCCAGCGGCTGTGAGAGGCTGTGAGCGTCCAGCGGCTGTGGAGGCTGTGAGCGTCCAGCGGCTGCGAGAGGCTGTGAGCGTCCAGCGGCTGTGAGCGTGACGTCCAGCGGCTGCGAGAGGCTGTGAGCGTCCAGGCTGTGAGCGTCCGCGAGAGGCTGTGAGCGTCCAGCGGCTGCGAGAGGCTGTGAGCTTCCAGCGGCTGCGAGAGGCTGTGAGCGTCCAGCGGCTGCGAGAGGCTGTGAGCGTCCAGCGGCTGCGAGAGGCTGTGAGCGTCCAGCGCGCTGCGAGAGGCTGTGAGCGTCCAGCCGCTGTGAGAGGCTGTGAGCGTCCAGCGGCTGCTAGAGGCTGTGAGCGTCCAGCGACTGTGAGCGTCCAGCGGCTGCGAGAGGCTGTGAGCGTCCAGCGGCTGCTAGAGGCTGTGAGCGTCCAGCGACTGTGAGCGTCCAGCGGCTGCGAGAGGCTGTGAGCGTCCAGCGGCTGCTAGAGGCTGTGAGCGTCCAGCGACTGCGAGAGGCTGTGAGCGTCCAGCGGCTGCGAGAGGCTGTGAGCGTCCAGCGGCTGCGAGAGGCTGTGAGCGTCCAGCGGCTGCGAGAGGCTGTGAGCGTCCAGCCGCTGCGAGAGGCTGTGAGCGTCCAGCGACTGTGAGCGTCCAGCGGCTGCGAGAGGCTGTGAGCGTCCAGCGGCTGCTAGAGGCTGTGAGCGTCCAGCGACTGCGAGAGGCTGTGAGCGTCCAGCGGCTGCTAGAGGCTGTGAGCGTCCAGCGACTGCGAGAGGCTGTGAGCGTCCAGCGGCTGCTAGAGGCTGTGAGCGTCCAGCGACTGTGAGCGTCCAGCGGCTGCGAGAGGCTGTGAGCGTCCAGCGGCTGTGAGAGGCTGTGAGCGTCCAGCGGCTGCGAGAGGCTGTGAGCGTCCAGCGGCTGTGAGAGGCTGTGAGCGTCCAGCGGCTGCGAGAGGCTGTGAGCTTCCAGCGGGCTGCGAGAGGCTGTGAGCGTCCAGCGGCTGCGAGAGGCTGTGAGCGTCCAGCGGCTGCGAGAGGCTGTGAGCGTCCAGCGGCTGCGAGAGGCTGTGAGCGTCCAGCCGCTGTGAGAGGCTGTGAGCGTCCAGCGGCTGCTAGAGGCTGTGAGCGTCCAGCGACTGTGAGCGTCCAGCGGCTGCGAGAGGCTGTGAGCGTCCAGCGGCTGCTAGAGGCTGTGAGCGTCCAGCGACTGTGAGCGTCCAGCGGCTGCGAGAGGCTGTGAGCGTCCAGCGGCTGCTAGAGGCTGTGAGCGTCCAGCGACTGCGAGAGGCTGTGAGCGTCCAGCGGCTGCGAGAGGCTGTGAGCGTCCAGCGGCTGCGAGAGGCTGTGAGCGTCCAGCGGCTGCGAGAGGCTGTGAGCGTCCAGCCGCTGCGAGAGGCTGTGAGCGTCCAGCGACTGTGAGCGTCCAGCGGCTGCGAGAGGCTGTGAGCGTCCAGCGGCTGCTAGAGGCTGTGAGCGTCCAGCGACTGCGAGAGGCTGTGAGCGTCCAGCGGCTGCTAGAGGCTGTGAGCGTCCAGCGACTGCGAGAGGCTGTGAGCGTCCAGCGGCTGCTAGAGGCTGTGAGCGTCCAGCGACTGTGAGCGTCCAGCGGCTGCGAGAGGCTGTGAGCGTCCAGCGGCTGTGAGAGGCTGTGAGCGTCCAGCGACTGCGAGAGGCTGTGAGCGTCCAGCCGCTGCGAGAGGCTGTGAGCGTCCAGCGGCTGTGAGAGGCTGTGAGCGTCCAGCGGCTGTGAGAGGCTGTGAGCGTCCAGCGACTGCGAGAGGCTGTGAGCGTCCAGCGGCTGCGAGAGGCTGTGAGCGTCCAGCGGCTGTGAGAGGCTGTGAGCGTCCAGCGGCTGTGAGAGGCTGTGAGCGTCCAGCCGCTCGCAGCCGCTCCACCGTGTTGTGGCTGAGCGCGCAGCCTCATCGTGGCCATGTACCCAACCCCATAAACACAGGACCATGCGTGTCTTTGAGTAATCTGTGCACCATAAATACACTGCTGCAGGAAACAGTCCGCGTCTCCCCTCTCCTCTCGAAGCGCGATTAAACGCCCTAAATAAAGCTCTGATACCTACATTTTGCATTGCATTAAAAGTTCATGTTTGAGCCCAAAAGTAAAATGTTGTGAACAAATTAAACAGATTTAGAGCCAGCAAATGGCTGACATTATGCATTTGTCTTTTTTTTTTTTGAAATATTTTATTTTGAAATTTTCAGTTTAGAACAAACAACAAAGAACAGTTATACCCACCCACCCACCCCGCTCACGAAAAAAATAAAAAATACACAAAAATAAATAAATAAATAAAAAATAAAAAATGAAATAAAATAAAATAAAAAACAAAAAAACAAATGCTCTGACATCACATTAAGCTCAAGATTATTTACTTTAAGGATACCGTAAGGTCTGTTGGGCTTATGTTCATATGTTCCAGGTATGGTTGCCATATTTTGACAAACGTGTCGAATGCCTTCCTCAGGCTATAGGTAATTTTTTCCAGAGGGACACAGCTATTCAATTCTGAGTACCATCTTGTCAGAGAGAGGGGAGAATCGGACCTCCAAGTGACAGCAATGCATTTTCTTGCAACCGATAGTGCAATTTCCAGAAATTTTGTTTGATATTTGTTCATAGGGTTGTCAATTTTTGTTAGATTTCCAAGCAGGCACACTTCAGGATCGGGAGGAAGAGATATTTTGGTAATACGCGAAAGGACCTCACAAATGTCAAGCCAGAAACCTGCTACTTTTATACAGGACCATGTGCAGTGTTGGAAAGAGCCCATCTCCGCATTGCATCGAAAGCATGCGTTTGACAAGCTTGGTTTTGATTTGTACATTTTTTCCGGAGTCAGGTAAAGCTGATGGAGAAAATTATAATGTACAAGTCTATAGCGAGCATTAATAGTTGCCGACACACTGTTTTGACAAAGATCTGACCAAACACTGTTTTCTATGGTAACGTTTAGGTCCGATTCCCACCTCTCCTTAGATCGATACACAGCTGGTTTAGCACAATCATTCATTAACAGAGAGTACACTCGAGAAATAAATGTACATGATCCACTATAATGCAACAACTTCTCAAGGCCTGTAAGTTTAGGTAAAGACAAATGATTACCCAAATTGCAGATAAGAAATGAACGCAACTGGAGATAACAAAAAAAAGTGTTATTTGGGAGATTATACTTGAGCTTTAGTTGTTCAAAAGACATCAAAGATCCTCCTTCAAAGCAGTCCTCCAAAGTATGAATTCCATTGTTATGCCAGGATTGCAGAATTTTGTTGTTCAGAGTCAGTGGTATCAGTTCATTTTGTCTCAAAGGCGACCTTGGGGACAAACTAAATTTCTGGCCAGCACATTTATGTACCTCATACCATACCTTAACGAGATGTATAAGAATGGGGTTATCAGTTTTCTTAGACACATTTTTTGCATTATATTTGTAAACAAAATTACAGGCATTTTCCTTCAAAGGATGAAATACAATATGAACCCAGGACGGCACCTCATCCCTGTCAAACATTGATAACACAAAGCGCAGCTGTGCAGAAAGATAGTATTTCCAGAGTTATAGTTCCATGTAAGTGACTCCAATGACTTTCTTGCTACTTTGCCATTCCAAATGAAAAGTCTTACAATTTTGTCCAGAGATTTGAAAAAAGACTGTGGTAGTGAAATGGGGAGAGACTGACAAAGATATTGCAGCCTTGGAAGGATGTTCATTTTAATGCAATTAATCCTCCCAATTAGTGTGAAGGGCAGAGTGGTCCAATTCAGCAAGTCTTCCTCGATCTTCTTCAACAGTGGACTGTAGTTCAGTTTATAAAGACTTTTAAGATTATTATCTAAGTTTATACCAAGATATTTTATCCCTGTTGGAGCCCATTTGAAACTTGATGTATCATGACATTGAGCGTAATTAAATGTTGTTAGTGGAATGATTTCACTTTTATCATAATTAACTTTATATCCTGACACTGTACCATAGGAATGAAGCAGAGTTTGTAGTCTAGTAACGGACTGAGACGGATCTGTAATATACAACATGACGTCTTCGGCCAAAAGGTTAATCTTATGTGTATCTCCACCAACACTGACGCCTTTGATGTTTGGGTCCTGTCTGATCGCCTCCGCCAAAGGCTCAATAGCCAAAGGCTCTATAGCCAAAGGCTCTATAGCCAAAGGCTCAATAGCCAAAGGCTCTATAGCCAAAGGCTCTATAGCCAAAGGCTCTATAGCCAAAGGCTCAATAGCCAAAGGCTCTATAGCCAAAGGCTCTATAGCCAAAGGCTCTATAGCCAAAGGCTCTATAGCCAAAGGCTCTACAGCCAAAGGCTCTACAGCCAAAGGCTCTACAGCCAAAGGCTCTACAGCCAAAGGCTCTACAGCCAAAGGCTCTACAGCCAAAGGCTCTACAGCCAAAGGCTCTATAGCCAAAGGCTCTATAGCCAAAGGCTCTATAGCCAAAGGCTCTATAGCCAAAGGCTCAATAGCCAAAGGCTCTATAGCCAAAGGCTCTATAGCCAAAGGCTCTATAGCCAAAGGCTCTATAGCCAAAGGCTCAATAGCCAAAGGCTCTATAGCCAAAGGCTCTATAGCCAAAGGCTCAATAGCCAAAGGCTCTATAGCCAAAGGCTCAATAGCCAAAGGCTCTATAGCCAAAGGCTCTATAGCCAAAGGCTCAATAGCCAAAGGCTCTATAGCCAAAGGCTCTATAGCCAAAGGCTCTATAGCCAAAGGCTCTATAGCCAAAGGCTCAATAGCCAAAGGCTCAATAGCCAAAGGCTCTATAGCCAAAGGCTCTATAGCCAAAGGCTCTATAGCCAAAGGCTCTATAGCCAAAGGCTCTATAGCCAAAACAAATAGGGCGGGAGATAGGGGGCAGCCTTGTCTGCTCGATCTTTGTAAGGGAAAGGATGATGAAATTATCCCATTAGTTATAATTCGGGCTTTGGGATTATAGTATAGAGTCTTCACCCAGTCAATAAAATATTGTCCAAAACCAAATTTCTCCATTACCTTAAATAAATACGGCCATTCCAGCCTGTCAAAGGCCTTTTCGGCGTCCAATGCTACTGCCACCGTTGGGTCAGACCGATGTTGTGACAGATGAATAATGCTGAAAAGCCTACTTAAGTTATTTGCTGACAAGCGTTTCTGAATAAAGCCACACTGATCAGGATTAACAATTTTAGGTAAAACTTGACTAAGACGATTCGCTAACAATTTGGAAATGAGTTTGTAATCAGCATTCAGCAGAGAAATAGGCCGATAGGAGGAGCATTTTAATGGGTCTTTATTCTTTTTTAGTATTACTGTGATTATGGCTGTAGTGAAGGATTCAGGGAGTGTATGTGTTTTCAACGCTAATTGTGTTACATCCAAAAACAGTGGAATGAGCAAGTCCTTAAATTCCTTATAAAATTCCACTGGGAAACCCTCCTCTCCAGGGGCCTTATTTGGCTGGAGGGAATTTAAGGTTTCTGTTTGGGTGGATGGAGAATCCAGTCTTTGTTGTTCTTCTTCGCCAATTTTAGTAAGTTCAATTTTGGAGAGGAAATTGTTAATTTGCGTCAGATCATGAGGAAGTTCAGATGTATACAAATTTGAATAAAAACTTTTAAATGATCTTTTATCTCTTCTGGGCTATATGACGTGTTCCCAATGTCGTTCTGAATTGCGTTGATGGTTCTGCTACTTTCCTCAGATTTCTATTGCCATGCTAATATTTTATGTGCCTTCTCTCCCAATTCATAGTATCTTTGTTTTGTCCTTAAGATATCCTTTTCAATCTTATAAGTGTTCAATGTGTTGTATTGAGTTTTTTTCTGGATTAATGACTGATAGATGTCCTTCGAGCCACTGCCTTGAAAGTCTTTTTCCAAGTTTGAAATATCTACCTCCATCTTTTCTATTTCTGCTGTGTACTTCTTCTTAAGGCCCTTTGTATAAGAGATTATTTGTCCTCTTAGGTAGGCTTTTAACGTGTCCCAAAAGATAAAGCTATTGGGAGAGGAAGGACTATTTGTTTCACAAAACAACTGTATATGACCCCTAACATATGAGCAGAAGTCTGGTCTCTGAAGAAGAGTAGAGTTAAGCCGCCATCGATATGGTCTTCTAGGCATATCGGGAAATATGATTGAGTCAGTGGTGAATGATCAGACAGTAAACGGGGTAAATATTCTGTATCTAACACTCTATGGAACAGATGGGAAGAGGACAAGAATAGATCTATTCTGGTGTGTGAATTGTGGGGGTATGAGTAAAAGGAAGAGTCTCGAGTTTGAGGGTGCATGTGCCGCCAAACGTCCATTAGATTTAAGTCCTTCATAAAAGAGTGAGTAATGTTAGCAGCTTTAGACTTCGATATTACCATAGACGATTTGTCTAAGGCTGGATCCAAACAAAAGTTAAAGTCCCCCCCAATTAGTAAATTGCCATGCCCTCCAGAAAGTTTGAGAAATACGTCTTGCATAAATGAGTCATCATCGTAGTTGGGAGCGTAGATATTGAGGAGCGACCACTGCTCAGAAAATATCCTACAGTTTACTAAGACATATCGTCCAGAAGGATCAACGATAGTATCCATCACTTCCAAAGGAGTATTCTTCCTGAGCAGTAACGCCACTCCCCTGGCTTTTGAGTTGAATGATGAGAATATAACCTGCCCCACCCATTCACGCTTTAATTTATTATGTTCTTCAGAAGTAAGGCGAGTCTCTTGGATAAAAGCAATATCTACCTTTAACTTTTTCAAATAAGTCAGGACTCTTTTCCTTTTGACAGGCCCAACCGTTTACATTAAAACTGACAAACCTCAGGACCCTATCCATACATTTCTGTTACATATAAAATTACCTGACCTTTTAAAACTGTGACAATGAGGAAAGTGTTTGTAAAACATTATATATAGGCACGTGTGTGAGCATCTGAAAACTAACAAACAAACAAAACCCAGAACAAAAATAAAAGTGAGCATAATTCCCCTCAGTGCCGCTCCTGGAACATGTGGCACAGTTCCCTTCCTTCTAAACGGTCTTCTCGTCGTGAACAACGTTCTCTACTCTCTGGGGGCTCTCCGACATGATATATTGTCTCAAACATTCTTAAACTGAGAGTGAATATATGCGGATACGAGATAATAATAGAAATACCTTCAAGTCCAGTATGAAGAACATAACCGTGGACATATGGCAACACAGTGGCATGGTGCAATAGCGGGCAGCCCAACTATTCCTTTATAAAAGCTGCTGCTTCTCCCGGTGTTTGGAAGATTGTCCGTTTCCCATCGGCGAGCGTTATCCTCAGGGTTGCAGGATGTAACAGTGAGTACTGTATATTCCTGGAGCGCAGCTCTCTCTTCACATGGTCGGACTCCTGACGCCGCTTCACCAGGTTCGGACTTAAATCAGGGAAAAACATAAGAGGTCTGTCCTCGTACGTTATAGGACTCTTGTTTTCCTTGTATCGCTTTGCAGCAGTGCGTAGTATTTTCTCCCGATCTTGGTAGTTCAGCAGCCGGATCAGCACAGGTCTGGGTCTCTCGCTTGCGGATGGTTTCAGACCGAGTGTTCGGTCCCGCGAACTCCTCACGTCCGAGTATGATTGGGAGCCAGTTGGTAAAAAAAGCCACTGGGTCATTACCTTCACAACCTTCCCGCAGGTTTAGTAAACGAATGTTGTTGCGCCTGCTGTAGTTCTCGAGTGAGTCAACTTTATCCATTAAGAATGTCTTGTCTTTGATAAGTTTGGCCACCTGGGCCTCACGTCACTCCGCTCATCCTCCACTGCTCCTATGCGGTCCTCCGTTTCGTTAACACAGGACTTTAAACCATCGAGTGCTGTCTTTAGCCCCGAGATAGACTGGTTGATCTCTGTCGTGTGTTTGTCCAGTTTGTCACTCAGGGCTTGATTCCCGGACCGAATTTCCTGAAGCAAGAGCGCGATGTCCATAGGTGGCGTGGTGTGCTCGTGCGCCATGTTGCTAGCTTCTTGATGCAAATCTTCGTCGTAACTCGGTAAAACATCCATAACTGCTGAGCAAGTTGGCTTATTTTTAGATCTCAGATCCATCCTCCTGTTAAGGAAGCGAGTTATAGGGAAACGAAGTTGATCCGAATGTTTTTGATGGTTGATATTGATAAATTATCGGAGAGCCTCCAAACTAGCGTCTGGCTGCTATCGCTGCATCACGTGACCCCCCATTTCAGTCTTTTTTGACCAATTCTCATCCCTGTAACAAACAATAGTGTTGTCTGTGCCCACCTCCCTCACTCTGAGACATGTTTATTACTCTCTTTAATGTAGACTATTGTACTTTATTTTATTGTTGAAACTGCACATATCCTGATCCTCTACAGTATTTGCTTCCACAAACTGTATAAACCAGGAGTCGGCAACCTGCGGCTCCGGAGGTGCATGCGTCTCTTTCCTTCTGTAGAAGGAAAAACGTTCTTAACGTTTTTAAATGCTGTAAAATTATGCATAAGTAATATTCAATTTAAACATTTCTGTCAATGTAGTGCGTCATATCCTGCGACGTAGGCCCACACCAGGCGGCCGCTGTTGTAAACAAACCGGCGTGTGAGCATCATAGACTGTGCGCATGGATCCCAAAGCTAAAAAGAGAAGAGTCGATAATAAGACTGGACTAAGAATGAAAATTAACATTTGCTTTCAGTCAATGAGGAAGGACTGCTTCATGTTTGCGATGTAATGAGAAGTTTCTATGAGATAATTGTATCTGTGCTTAGAAACTACAAAAATGGCCGCTCGGGGTGGAGTTGAACCTGTGTCACCTGGATGGGGGCGTGGTCAAAAGTGCCTCATTTGCATTTAAAGAAACAGCACCAAAACAGGTTGCTCTCAGACGCACCTCAGAACAGGTGTAGAAGAAAGGCCCGTGGAGCTACAAATAATGAGACTCAGACCCAGGCATTGCAGTTACGCTTTATATAGGCCACAAATTAATGATTTAGATGTAAAAATCAATTATTTGAAAACACCCCATGAGTGAAAGACTAGTCTAAATAAGCAGGAAGCCAAAGACATGTGGTTTTGGTTAGTCTGGTTTAAAGTGGACATATCGTGTTTTCAAATAATTGATTTTTACATCTAAATCATTAATATGTGGCCTATATGAAGCGTAACTGCAATGCCTGGGTCTGAGTCTCATTATTTGTAGCTCCACAGGCCTTTTATGAAGGTTATTTTGTGTTTTTATTATCAACACTTTTTTTTGCTTTTGAATTCTATAAACTGTAACAAAAAAGTATTCAGTGTAAATAAATTCAATGTTTTAAAATTCAGTGTCAAAAAATTCAATGTTTTAAAATTCAGTGTCCAAGAATTCGTTGCATTTTTTTTCGCTGCTTGAAATGTCATGCTTTATTTCCGGATAAATCAAGAACAAAGCAATCGCTCAGCCAATTCTCCACAGATGTAGCCAGGGCCAGAACACGACTTTGGCTTTATCTGAATGTCCGCACTATACCGTAGTCACTCACTCACAGAGATTCAGACGCTGCACTATTATCAGGCCGTGCTGTTGTACGTGAGCGTCCCGCTGTAGCGTGGATCACGGAGCGGAGAGAGGAGCGGCCATGACAAGGTAAAGGTAAAAGTTGAATTTACGTTTTAATTAGGACATAACATTTAATTGTATTAACATTGGAGGTGGGAAATACCCCCTTCTATTGTTATATCAGAGGTCTGTTTGGTGATTAAACACATTTTCTTGGAACTTCCTGTTGGACCATCAGCTATGACGGTCGCACAGTAGAGAGCTCCCGATAAAACCCGTGAAATTGGACCAAAAGCCCCCTTTACATTGAAGATATTGTAAGAGCTTAACTTAACAAGACTTGAGCAGTGAAATATAGTTTTATCCTCGACGGTCAAGGCTAACTTGCACCCAATAGCATTTAGCAAAAGATGGCGGACGCAGAGATTTTGCAAGAACTGAAGCTATTTCGCCAGACAGCAATTTGACGACCTAAGAAGTGACTTATCGGGTCTCCATAACAGGCTGGGAGAGGCCGAAGATCGGATCGAAAAGGCCGAAGAGCGGATACAAGCCTCAGAGGAAGCAACACTGGAGATGCTAAAGCTACACGTGAGGCTAGATGAGAAGCTAACGGAAATGGAGAGTCACAGCAGACGCGATAATCTACGGATTTATGGAGTAGCCGAAGAGTCCGAAAGAGACTCCGTTAACATGCTGTCTTTTGTGAACAAACTTCTTCACGAGGGCCTGCAACTGTCTGAAGAAATGCCCGACTTACAAATTCAGAGGGCTCATCGCTCGCTAGGCCCTCAACCAACAGCTGGCGCACCGCCTCGCTCTATTATGGTCAGGTTTTTGAGCTTTACGGTGAAAGAGATGCTGCTACACAAAGCGTGGCAAACAAAAGGATTCAAGTGGAAAGACAATCATGTAAACCTCGATCATGATTATCCGCCGTCCATCATTGCTAAACGGAAGGAGTATGCTGAAATTCGGAAAGTTTTGAAAGCTAATAATGTGAAGTTTCAAACGCTGTTCCCGCGAGGCTACGCGTGAAGCACGAGGATGGACCCAAAACATACGATACACCGACTGCCAGCACCACCACCAACAATGACAACAACAACAACAACAATGCCAGCACCACCACCGGCGTCATTGACTGAGCGGATAAAGCAGCTGTCCTGGACCCGAGTGAACCGGCGCGCTACGAAGGCTACACGCGACCCCACTCGAGACGCCAGTTACAAGGAGAAGCTTCGCACATTCCGGAGGACCACCCCAGGCGCAACAGCGGACTAAGTTGGAGCAAAGTGATGTGGATAACCTCCAAGGGATGTTTGTTATTATTAAGATGAGGTGGTGAGTAGTTTGGGAATTTTGATTAGACGGGTTCTGTAGGTAGAGCTTTCAAGATGCTGTGGGCCAACAAGGACACCCTTCACTGAACCCAGTTGAAGGGTTTTTGCCTTAGAGCGCCCCCTTGGGCCTATTAGGGTCTAAACGTTAGACCCCTACTTAGGAAGTCACCTTTTTGTTTTTGTTGTTGTACATTTTATGTCGTTTTGTATGTTCACATTATGCATATGTTTTTTTGTTCGTTATACTCTGCTGTTCTGCGCAGAGATGGGAAGAGTGCCATGTCTATTTGTTTGGTTAACCTTGATGCAGTCACATGTCAGATAGACCCGTAAAACTGGTATCGCTTAACATAAATGGCATACTTAATCCAATTAAGAGGTCCAAAATGTTATCTCAATTGAAAAGGGATAAGGTCCAGATAGCATACATACAAGAATCCCACCTTAGTGATAATGAACATGCTAAATTAAACAAGATGGGGTACACAAAAGTATATTTCTCCTCACATGACTCGGGGAGTGGCGATTTTGTTGTGCAGTGCAGTGCAATTTCGAATTCATATCTGAACACAAAGATAAAGAGGGGAGGTATATTATGGTAATTGGTAAAATTGAGGGAACCTTAGTGAGTTTAACGTTTATATCCCACCAGGCAGTGACTGGTCATTTTATAAACATGTACTTGAAACAATGACAACAAAGAGTCAGGGCGTTTTGATACGCGGGGGGGATTTTAACATTAGATTAAGGCCCTGTCCACACGAAGTCAAGCTCAGGCCTAAACGCAAAAATACTTTATCAATCCAGTGTATCGTCCATACGAGGCCGGCGTTTTGGGGGGGTGTAAACGAACATTTTTGAAACCAGGTCCCAGAGTGGAAAGATTTCAAAACTCCGTATATGCTGCTCCGTGATTACTGCCTCTCCGCAATGTATCTGAGACGCTTGCGTCATCGCCCCGCCTCTTGTTAAAGCAGCATGCGCCGCACTCAGAAAATAATGACAACAACAATGTAGCTTGTTGGTTTTGTAATCCAGTGTGACCCGAAGCAACAGTTCAACCTCATCGTCCGTCCATACTAATGTAGTACCAGCTCGCCCACTCGCCATGTTGTCTGTTTACAAAATTCTGCGCATGCCCAGTTCCCGTCACGGAAGTTTGGGCTTGATCCCGTCATTGCGTCACAGCGCCACCAACAGGTCTGGCATAGTTTCACAGCGTTTTCAGGCGTATTGACTACATTCATATGGACGCACACATTTACTGAGCTAACTCCGTGTTTACAGAAAAAGTTTCTGAAATTATAAGCGTTTTGTCTTCGTGTGGATATAGCCTAAATCCGAAAAATGACAGTTCAAATGGCAAACCCGATAGCAAAAAAATGTATAAAAAAGTAAATAATTTCATGAAAGAAGTGGGATTAGACGTATGGAGGGAAAATAACATGACACTCACTATTCTGGGGCGCACAATGTTTACTCCAGAATAGACTTATTCTTGATGTTTAAAAACGATATGTTTCGACTGATAAAGTGTGACATAGGAACAAGCGTACTCTCAGACCATAATCCGGTATTTTTGGCCCTTAACCTTAATAGTAAAATAAAATCTACTCTATGGAGATTAAATGCGAATATTCTGAATGACAAGGAAATCGTGAATAAATTGAAACTTGAAATTGAATCCTATCTGGAGCACAATGACAACGACGCAGTCTCACCAGTTATATTATGGGATGCGTTAAAAGCAGTGCTTCGAGGGAAAATTATAGCAATTTCTTCTACTGTAAAGAAACTGAAAAAATAAAAATTACTAGATCTCGAGAATAAACTTACAGAATTACAGAAGGAACATTCATCTTTTCTACAGGACTCAGTAAAATTAAAAATGCTGGAAGTCAAGAAGGAGATAAATGAAATAAACACAGGACATTCAAAAAAAGCTTCTTTTTACAAAACAACAATACTATGATACTGTGGGAAAGCTCTTACACTTTTGTCATATAGATTAAGGAAACAACAGGCAGAGAGAACAATTTTCAAATTTTAACATCCCCAAACAAACCAAATTAAAACTAACCCAGAACAAATACAGAAATGTTTTGAGGAGTATTATCAGAAACTATATTCTCAGCCTCAATTAAGAAGTGGTATTGAAATTGATTCATTTTTATCTTCACTAAATTTACCTCAAGTCACAAACGACCAAAATAAGAAGCTAATCTCAAAAATTACTCAGGAAGAAATTATATCCGCAATTAAGAGATTAAAAAACGGAAAAGCCCCCGGTGCAGATTCAATTCCGAATGGTATAAACTCACGCAAGAACACTTGGTCCCGACATTAACGAAAGCATTTAACTCAGTACTTCAAACAAAGACTATTCCTCCATCTTGGAGAGAGGCGATTGTTTCTATCATCCCCAAAGAAAATGAAGACAAACTTGACTGTGGAAACTATCGCCCCGTGAGTGTACTGAATATCGACTACAAAGTATTTACTTCCATATTATGTAAACGTCTCGAGATAATTTTACCTGAGCTCATACACAAAGACCAGACAGGCTTTATTAGACAAAGGCAGACGCAAGACAATATTAGGAAAGCGCTTCTGATAATGAAACATGTCAAACAATGCAAATTAGAAACTCTTATAATAAGTTTAGATGCAGAAAAAGAGTAAGATGGGCTTTTTTATATAAAGTAATGGCGGCATTTGGCTTTCATTCTGACATGGTTGAAACATTCGCTGCACTGTACAACAAACCTACTGCAAGAATTAAAATAAACAGGGATTTATCCAAACCCATTCATCTAGAAAGAGGCACCCGCCAGGGCTGCGGAGCATCGGCACTACTTTTCTCTTTATTTATTGAGCCCTTAGCTCAGTGGATAAGGCAGAGCACAGAAATTCAAGGGGTTACTCTAAAATCAGGGGAGCAAAGATTAGCTCTATTTGCTGATGACATATTAATATTTTTGACGGATCCCACTCAGTCGCTTCCTAAATTATTGAAAATGCTGGAAGAATATGGTTCTTTTTCAGGCTATAAAATTAATATTACCAAAACTCAGGTTCTAAAGCTCAATTATAACCCGCCTACGAAAATGAAAAACACATACAAATGGAAATGGGAATCAGATAGCATTAAATATTTGGGAGCCGTTCTGACAGAGGATCCGTCTAGATTGTTTGATGCCAATTATGGGCCTTTAATCGCCAAAATAAGATCAGATTTACAAAGGTGGAACAATGTCCCGTTTTTGAGTTTACACTCTCGGGTGGATTCAATTAGAATGAATATCCTCCCCCGTTTCCTGTACCTCTTTCAATGCCTTCCTATTTGGATAACTCAAAAACATTTTGATGAGTGGGATAAAATATTGGCAAAATATATTTGGCAAAATAAAAGGGCTAGGATAAAATATCAGACAATGCAGTTGATGAAAGGGGGGCCTGGGCCTTCCCTGCCTCAGGGATTATTATTATGCTGCTCAAATTAGACCTTTAATCTGTCTATGTTCGCCCATTTACGTGGCTGGATGGAAAGATGTTGAAGGGACGGTTACAAAAGATATACCCATTATGGCCCTTTTACCTGACAAAAAACTACAAATGAATATCAATATAACTGAAGACTTTATGTATGAGTCTCTTCTGAACTCCTGGAGTAGAATAATGCAAACATGCAACTTGGAAAAAATGTCTAGAATTTTAAGGTGGTGTGCGTACGATTCTGACTTCAGACCAAATGCCCTTGATGGAAGATTCAATGATGGATTCAATGATGGAGAGCATGAGGACTAGCAAGATGGCGCCGTGTCAGGGCGCCGCAGTGAACGCTCTGTGGCGCACAATCTGTGTTTTGTTGTTTTTCGTCTGGGATTCACTTGCCACAGTGAAATATGATCGGCAAACACTTCTGCACATTCGGGATCACGCGGGTGACGGGTCACTCGTTTTACCTGAACTGAGGTGCACTAACTTCCTCGAGTGTCCCACTCGAGAGGCTGGTGGAGCACGGCAGGCGGGCCGCGGCGGTGGCCGCCAACAGAGCGAGGGGACTGGGCGTCTCCGGCGTTCTCTCCGCGGTGTGGAGCTGGGCACCTCGAGTCGGCGAAGGAGGCGCAGACACCGGGGAAGGCGAGGCGGTCTGCTCGTTCGTAGCCGCTCCTCCAGGACCCCTTTGCCCTCCATCTACCTGGCCAACGTCCAGTCTCTGCCCAACAAGACGGACGAGCTCCTGTGTCGGGTCCAGAGCCAGCGCGAGGCCCGGGACTGTGTTCTGTCTCAGTGAGACGTGGCTCCACTCGAACGTCCCGGACTCTGCTGTTCAGCCCCCGGGATTCACCGCTCACCGTGCGGACAGAGTGAAGGAGACCACGGGCAAGGCCAGAGGCGGAGGTGTGTGCTTTTTAATTAATCAGCGCTGGTGCACGGACACTCGCATCGTGAACCAAACATGTACTGCCAATCTGGAATGCCTGGTCTTGAGCTGCCGCCCTTTTTATCTTCCCCGGGAGTTTTCAGTGATATTTTTATGTGCTGTTTACATTCACCCACGTGCGGATTACAAAGTAGCCCTACAGGATCTGAGCGAGATCCTTCACAAACATGAGTCTGCTCATCCTAACGCAGTCATCATTGTTGCTGGGGATTTTAATAAATGTAATTTAAAGACTGTACTCCCGAACT